CAGCACCATTTGTTGTAAAGGTTGTCCATGTTCCATTTAATAGCTTTTACACCTTTGTCAAATAACTTGTTGGACATATACGTGTGTGGGGGTCTGTTACTTTTTTTATTATTATTATTTTGTTCCATTGATCTACGTATCTTTCTCTTTAACCATTGTACCACACAGTCTTGATTAGCTGTATAGTAAGCCTTGAAATTATGTAAACTGATTCCTTCCAACTCCTCCTCAAAATTGTTTTAGTTATTCTAATTCTTTTCCATGTAAATTTTAGAGCAATCTGGTCTCTACCACACACACACACACACACACACAAATCTTCTTGGAATTTTGAAAGCATTTATATAGAGTATCCATATCAGTATTTGAAAAGAATTGACATCTTTACTAATTTGAGTGTCCCAGCACATGACTACAGTATTGATTTCAGCATGATTTATTTATTTAGTTTCTTTCAACAACATTTTGTAGTTTGGGACATATAAGTTCTGTACCTGTTTCTTTAAATTTACACCCAAGTGTTTTATTTTCTGTAGTGATTTTTAATGTTATCTGTGTTAGGAGGCTGGGTTCTCTAGAGTAACAAAACCAGTGAAACTTACATATGTATGTATACAAAGATTTATTTCAAGGAAATGACTCATGCAGCTGTAGATGCAGACAAGTTCCAAGTCCATGGACCAGATGTCAGGTTAGAGGCTTCTCCTGACTCAGTAGCTTCGGGGGCTGGTGAACCCAAGATGTTTGGCAGGTCAGATGGCAGGCTTCTGACAGCAGAAGCAATTGAATCAAAGGTCTGCATGTAAGATGGCAGGAAGCTGCCAATTCCCAGGATCAGCAGGAAATATGGCACGGGTCAAATGAGAAGCCAGATGCAGGATCCAGTTCCAGCAATCCTTACCAGAATTTCCACGTATATTGGAAGCAGTCACACCTTGAGGAAACACCCTTTTAATTGATTGGCTGATTGTAGCAGTTACAACCTTAACTATCACTAAATATATATATGTTATTGTTAAGTACAGTGGAGTCGGTTCTGACTCATAGTGACCCTGCATAGGGTTTC